GGGTGAGTGGCGGGGGGGGGTCCGAGTCAAGAGGGCAGAGAGAGAAGGGGGTGTAGGTCATGTACTTGTGGAGGAGCTCAGGGTGGTTATGGCAGGAGGAGGCTATGGGGGAGAGCTGAGAGTAGAGGAGGAGATCTGAGGGGATGGTGGGTTTGGCTGCTTTGGCGGTGACCGGTGGAGATGGGTAGTGGTGCGTGAGGTGATTGATGGTGGCGCGTATGGTGTGGAGCTGGTGGAGGAGGTGGTCAGGGACTGGCTGTGGAGCTGGGGATTTGGGGGTTTGGATAGTGGAGGAGAGATGGTAGAGTGAGAGTATGTTGGTGGCCACCATAGCCATCAAGAGCAGCAGGTTCAGGCCCATTGTGAAACCCATTTGCTTCACTCTCACTCTCTCTTCTTTCTCTATATTTCTGGCTTTTTCTTTTGGGGAATTGCAAATTTTTGAGATTTTGGTTTTGAGCTTCTTCTTGAATCTAATGTCTCGGTGCAGTGACCGTTTGACTTACCAGTGAAGTAAGTGAGTGGCTTTTTCAGCTATCTCAGCAGGAGCAGCGTATGGGGCCTGCTTGTGTGTGAGCAAGAGTATGGATTTGAGATTTTGATATTTGATTTTGTCCGTTCGATTAGGACAAGTTGTGTGGGCTTCCAGATGAGGCAGGTTGATGTAGATTTTGGAGTGGTGGAATCCAACGGCTGAAAACTGAAAAAAGAGTTGCATGGGTTGGCAATCAGGACTTTGGATTTATTTTATTTCCTCTTTTGTCATTTTGTTTTCCTCTTTTTCTTGCAGCCCCTGTGGGTTTTAGGAAATTAAATGATTAAAAATGAATATGGGACTGGGGGCACGTTGGACTTTCTGGACTGACTTGCATTTCATGCAGATTTTTATATTGCTGTTATCAGAGCAAAGGATTAAGAAAATATTACCATGTTTTTAGGGACTGCTCGTCCTCAGTGACCTTAGCCAAACCCAATTAATGCAGACACTGTATATAGTCCAACCCAGGGACTTTGCTTCGCTTACTTTTCCTTTTTAACAATTAGATTCATTTTTACTATATTTAGCAGGACCATTAACCTTGAAAATATGTAATTCAATATAAAATAGTTCATCACATTCACATTGATAAAATAAAAAATAAAAAAAAGGAGTTTGTTGTAGCTTAAGTGGTAAACAATATTTACCTAACACCCGAATTTTTAGATTCAATTATCCTTCCTCTCGCTTGCACGGTTGTACCAATGAAACGTTTCCGGCCGGATTAGAGAACAATTTCTAAAGGCATCCTTATTCTTAAATGGACAGCCCAACCCATTCCGGCCAAATCGGAGAACAATGAAACTTTTCTAAAGTACCAAACAAACCCCGCCCATCTGATCTTGTGGAATATATATGATCTTTTCCATTAGACTAAGAATTAGTTGATTAAGTAATGAGCTTGTAACTTATATGGTTAAGAATATTTACCTATGTATTTGAAATTTTATATTTGATTCCCTATATAAAGTAAAGAAGGATTCACTTGATTTTTGTGGGTCTTGTAATCATGCCGTAAGATTCAACAAGAGAGAGAGAGAGAGAGAGAGAGAGAGAGAGAGAGAGAGAGAGAGAGAGAGAGAGAGAGGAACAAAACATATTAAAAACAAAGAGTTGACTGAAAAGAAAGATCGAAAATAAAAACAAATAGGGAAGAAAATGTTCTTGTATAAGATTGGGTTAGAAAATTGAAAAGAAAGAGGCCTATTTTCTTTTGCACAAAAGCCTCTTTCAAAATAAACTGTGGATTTTCTTTAAGAAGTGGGCTAAAAAAATATTATTTGGGGCCCTATGCCATCGTCCAGCCTGCACATGTTTTGCGCCGGGCCTGCCTGATAGAAAAGATGGTTGGTTTAAAAAACACAGGATGTTTCTGTTTCTACCTTGCAATAATGCACTTCCCCATCCAACAAAAAGTTTGAGTTCCCATTGCAGAGTTTTGCTTTTCCTTCCGGGACATTTTGGAAAAAGTAAAAGGAGAGAGAAAAATTTTAAAAGAAGCAAAAATGGACAAAAATGCCCTTATTTATTTTTAGATTTCTTAAGTAATCCAATACATTTGCATGTCTTTGATTTGAAAGTTGAGTGGTTTTTTTGTCTTTTTTGAAAAAGCTTTGGCTTTTTCCAAAAGTGAAATTTTTTTTATGTCTAAAACCTAAAAAACCTTTTCCTCCTTTTTTCAATTTGTTTTTAGGGTTAAAATTGGAAGTTTCAATTTTGCTGGGTAGGAAACAAAAATGACCAACACGCCTGTATCACAGTAGCATTCGTTGGTGAGAGGGAGCAAGAGTCGTATATAAAAGACCTAACTCGAGAATCCGGCGCCTGCCTAACGCAACTTTGGTTTCCTTTCCTCTGTTTGGAACACTAGATCGCTATCCACAACTTGAATCAATGGTAATGCTAACCTACTCTCTACTATTTTCCTTTTCATTGTTATCTTTTTGACTTTCAGATACCAAATGCAGCGTTAGGGTTTGCAAATGCTTGTGTAGATTTCATGTCTATTTTATCTTCGTTCCCCAAATTAGGGCTTGAGTTGAGTAATTCAGTCTTTGATGTTGTTTTGCATAATTCTAATTTTGTGTGGTGTTGTGATTTTATTTGGGATTTTGGTGTGCAATTGGCCAAGAAATGAATATTGGGAATTTGGGAGCTCAATTTTTACTTTTAAGTGGTGGTCAGGGTTGGGCATGGCTGTTACACTGAGCAGGCATAGCAAATAATAGGTTTTGAAAGAACAGCAATTATCACACGGGTTATATGCAAATACTTCCTGAAACAGGCTCCAAGAGAGTTAGAACTTAGGTAGTTCTTTTGGTGCATATATCTGTAGTCTCTGTTGAGGAGATTTTTTAGACTGTCTTGGCCATTGTAGGGTGTTCCGGACTGTTTTGAAATTTTCAATTGCTTTTTTATTTTGTATCTGCGATGCCATGGGGTTTGGGGGATAAGGAACATGGGTTCTGATTTCACAGTCATCATGTGTTTCTTTTCTGGTCTGGGATGTGTTGCAACTTGCTAAATACACGTAGATATGCTTACTGATATACAGTGTGGTTGGCACAATTTTATATTTAGTCTGTATGATGATTATGATTTTAATCATTATGATTTGTTTTTTTCCATAAGTTTTTGTTACTTATTGGTCTCCTTTTTAGGCGGATCCTGAACTAGAAGCAATCAGACAAAGAAGAATGCAGGAGCTTATGGCTCAACATGGTGTGGTAAGCAATCAACTTGGGTTTACTTGAGTGTTTTAGCTAAAAACGTGCAGTTGCATTTTTTGTGATTTCGTGCTGATCTCGCCACCTTGCATTGATTGATAGGGAGGGTCCGGAGGGAAACAACAAAATCCGGAAGAGCAGAGGGCAAATGAAGATGCCAAGAGGTTGGGTTTTAAATCAATTAGGGAATTAGTTTTTTCTGTTTTGTTTTTCCAGAAAGTTCTTATTGATTTTATACATAAGGAAATTAACTTAGGGAGGCTGAAGAACGGAGGCAGATGATGCTTAGTCAGATTTTGTCAGCGGAAGCTCGTGAAAGAAGTAAGTTGATATCTGAAATTGGCGTTTCATGATTATTATATTTGCGCTCCTTGGAAAATTTACCATTATTATCACTTCTCCTCTTTTAGAAAAGCCTATTCTTGGTTTAGGATACAATGTTTGGATTACTTTTATGACAATAGTTAATAAACCATGGTACTTTGATATCTTGGCACAAGATTTAGGCGGTTTAAAATAAGAAAGATGGAGTACGATATGTTGTTAATCTGGGCTGTTGTCTGTTTGCAGTTCAGTAACATGCATAGGTGTATAGCAATTCATACTCTGGGTTAGGCTTATCTGTTGATCTAATACACTTAGTGCTATGCATGTGTAGTTGCTCGAATTGCTTTGGTGAAACCTGAGAAGGCAAAGGGCGTTGAAGATGTTATACTGAGAGCTGCTCAAATGGGCCAGATAGCTGAGAAGGTATGGTGTGATATTTCATATCGTGGTCGCTTTTATAGTTTCTTCACAGGGCTTAATATTAAGTGCATTTAGGTTTCCGAAGAGAGGCTCATTTCGCTGTTGGAGCAGATCAACAACCAAACAACAAAACAGACCAAAGTCACTGTAAGTGATGATCAATTTGTAATGATCTTTCTTTCGGTTAAATTTTACATGTAAAATTGTACTGATTTTTGCCCCATGTCTTGGATTACTCTTTTTCTTCCAGATTCAGAGGCGTCGGAGTGTCCTTGATGATGATGATTGAATTGTATTTTATTTTTAAAGACAATGTTCTTGTTGGTTGTATATTTTAAGATAAAGTGCTTGATTTTTTGTATTTCTAAAATATTCAACTCTGCTCGTACTTCTATTGCGTGATTTTGATATTTGTTTTTCAGTAATATTCTTGACGTGCAAATATAACCTGTGTCATTGTATATATTTCAGTTCAGAAGAGCATTGCTCTTTTCTCAAACAAACATCCTTAGCACCATCTCAAGACCAAAAAAAAGCTCCAACACATGTACACTACCAGTTTGATCATGGCCGTATATCTGAGTTTAATTTTTGACATGCTAGGATTACTTTCCCATGACCATATGTTTGGCTGCCATTGACGTTATTTTCTTCGGTGAAACTCTACAGGTGCTCTGACTAATTTGTGATGATTAACTAGTTAGTTTGCAACTAATCGATCCACAAACCATGTTTATGTTAATGATGATCTCATGGCTTTGCTAATAAGTTGTGACCCAAATAATTAATTATGGCATTCAATCACATGATATGATCCTTGTCCTTGAGATACATTAGTTCTTATGCATTTACCCGCATTGAGCATCTACATTAGTTCTTGTGCATTTATTTGTATTTCACAATAACTGAAGCATTCAAATAATCTAATAATTTAAGACATACACATCACAGTATAAGTGTTTAAAATTGTTCTCATAGGCCCTATTTGGTTCATGAAAAAGGAGACTTAGGGATGAGAAATCAATTGTTTTCCCACGTTTGGCAAGTCAAGGTATAGGAAATCGTTGCCTAGACCATGGGAAAGTAAGGGGAAAGTGAAGTCATTCTCCCAACTTGGGTTTTGCATTCCCTTATAATGGGAAAGTTCGGGAAAATGAGCCAATATTAAATAAATATTTTTCATGACCATTTTGTTCCCATTAACAATTTAGACTGGCAATATATCATTAAATGCATTTTTTTTATTTGATTTAATATGGGTATACTTGAAAATTAATACACTTCGTTTTCCATTCATACTCAAAACAAATATGAGAAATGAAATAAAGTGATATTTCCCGATTACTTTCCCAGCATTACCAAACGTGAGAAATAAATGTTCCATTTCCCATCTATTGGGAAATGATATGGGAAATGATTATTTTTTCTCAAATTCATTCCATGAATCAAACTTGGCCACAGGGTAATTTGACAATAACAAATTGACAGTGGTTAATGCTAATTTGTCAATAGGAGATGGCGGTGGTTATAGGATTGCAGCCTTCTGATGCCATTAGTCCATTTCTAGAAGCTTGGAAATAATTGATGCTTCCACCGAGAAATATAAACCAGTATCACTGTCATCAAATAATTCAATATTTCCACATTTGTTTCCTTGCGCATAGCATAACTCATTTGTGATTCCACTACATTAGTTCAAAATCTAATGATGTCACGTGAAGTAGGTATATTAAACTTAAAACAACTATCATTTAAAATTAATAAATAACTAAAAAAAAAACAAATACATTATAAAATGAATAAATATTTTTATGTGATTATAAACTAGTAACAATGAGATATTTAAGATATGAAATGGTTCATTAGAACTTCGATTTTTTATATTTTAAGTATCTAATCTTGGGATCCGACACTATAAACTTCAGTATAAGTATAAGCTCCAAAATGATTATTTATATCGTTAAACAATTCATTTAGATTAGAATAAAGTAGAACATCGTTTCATAAAATAAAAAAACAATCCATCATGTCATATATAATATCAAAATCAATAAAATTAAGTAACAATGAGATTTGATTTTCCTCAACATGTAACCCGTCTTACATGTTTTGGTAGATTTGAAAAATAAAAACTCCCTACTATATATATATTTCTGGGCGCGTGGCTGAATCATATATTTATCAGAAGGAACCGAATCTGACGACGTACACATCTCAAATTCTGCCTCTCGTTGTAATCTGCAACGTTGGTTCTCACAGGTATTTTGTTACTCTTTTTTGCGCTTTTTTGCTTGGCTTCCCCAAGTCCCAACAAACCGACCGAATCAAACTCCCCCTACCCCATCTCTCTCTCACTCGCAAGCGCACATTTCCCTCTTTTGAGAATCTTCAACCGTGTAACAGCTCTCAATTGAATATTGACCCCCAAGTTCCCAACTTTTCTCTTCAATTCTTCCACCTCTCTCTGCAAAAGTTTTTTCACCATAACAGCCAAAAGTTTTCTGTTTCTGGTTTCCCGGCGATACCAAAAGCGGTTTTCCGGCGTTCCCAGATGGAGAAAGAGCCTCTGCTTCCCTATGTAGGCAGCCCGAGAAGAAAGCTCTCACCTTTACACACTCTCTGTCCGCTACCAGAAGATAATGAATTCACTGCCCCTTTAACCCCTTCAGAGTTCAAAGACCGTATCATCTTTGGCCCTTCCCCCTCATCACCACAAGACTCTTCTCCTCTAGTTGATGCCTTGACTCTGCCTTACAGTTCACCAAGAGCCTCAAGGCCTCCTTCCTCTTCTTCTTTATTAGACGCCATAGCCACAACCCCAAAAGACCCACAACCTCAACAACCCCTGCAATCTTGGCTCATTGACCCCAACTATTCATGGACCAAAACCAACCTCCATCGCTCCAAAACTGCACCTGCTATGGCTGTTATAAATGATGTGGAAAACCGGCGTTCTGATCCTAGACCCCAATTTGGTTCACAGTCTATTGTAAGACAAGCTTTTATTCTTCTTGTTATATATTTGTCATTGGGTGTGACTATATATTGGTTTAACCGTCATCATTTCTCGGCAATTGAGACACACCCGGTAGTTGATGCATTGTACTTTTGTATTGTGACAATGTGCACAATTGGTTATGGAGATATTACACCCACTAGTACGGCAACCAAGTTGTTTTCTATAATGTTTGTGTTGGTGGGGTTTGGATTTATTGATATTTTGCTTAGTGGGATGGTCAGTTATGTGCTGGATTTGCAAGAGAATTATTTGCTAAGGAGTCTTAAGGGTGTGGGTGAGAAAAAGGAGTCCTACATATTTGATGTCAAGAAGGGGAGGATGAGGATTAGAATGAAGGTAGGATTGGCATTGGGAGTTGTGGTGCTATGTATTGGGATTGGTGTTGGTGTTATGCATTTTGTGGAAAGGCTTGGATGGTTGGATTCATTTTATCTTTCGGTTATGTCAGTTACCACCGTTGGGTATGGTGACCGCGCTTTCCAGTCTTTGTCGGGTCGCATCTTTGCTTCAATTTGGTTGCTTGTATCGACGCTTGCGGTTGCTCGAGCATTTCTGTATTTAGCTGAGGCAAGGGTGGATAAACGGCATAGGATAATGGCAAAGTGGGTTCTTGGTCAGGACATGACTGTTTCTGAGTTTCTTGCTGCTGACATTGACAATAATGGCTTTGTGAGGTATGTGCTAGTATTAAATACTTACATTTTGATCAGTTAGGTTGTTTTAGGTTGTTGGTTTTTGATCTATGAAGTTGGTTCATCAAAAGGTACATACTTGGGCCGTATAGGATAAAACTTGTATTGATTTAGCCTTTCTTCTTCTCCTAGTTACTCAAATACATTTGGCATGTTCTTGAGCTTAGTAATCTAAAGCCAATATTGTTGACTAACTAGATATTCTTTAAATGCCTATTTGAAATTACGTGTTATAACTATCATTATGAGAATTATAATAGACTACCAGCTTACTAAGTTTTCTGAAACATGAGGCCTTCTATTTGACTGCCCGAGTGCATAAACTCTTGGACCACAAATGAATGTATTGATTTGTGAGTCATCTTTTGTAATTTTTGGATATTATAAGTGAAGCTTGTAGGTTGCAATTAACAATCATTGGTCAATGTCTGTCTCTATCCATAATGAAGGGTCGTCTGAATGCATGGGTCTAAACAGAAGTTTAGGAGACAAGGAATATTTGTGGATAAAATGAAACAGAATTTCTGTAAGTTAAAATACCTATTTGAAATTACGTGTTATAACTAGCTCTATGAGAAATTATAACAGAGTACCCGCTTACTAAGTTTTCTGAGACCTAAGGCCTTCCATTTGACTGCCCAAGTGCATAAACTCTTGGACCACAAACTGTAAGTTTCAGATATTATGAGGTGAAAGTGAAGCTTGTAGGTTGCAATTAACAATCATTGATCAATTTCTGCACATTATGAAGGGCTGTCTGAATGCATGGGGAGTAAACAGAATTTTACAAGACAAAGAGTATTGGCAGATATTATGAAATGAGGCTGTGCACAGACCCCTCCACCTTCTCCTTATTGTGTTAGCTCAGTCCTCCTTTGCGGGCCTTAATAACCAAGCATTTCAAGTGTGTTGAGCACAGTATTCCATTTCTATTGGAATTATCAAAGTTTATTGCAAATTTCTTGAGCACGCAAATGGCTTATAGTAAGGGGAACTGTATCCCTATGGGATATTCTCTCTGAACTTTTGTGTTTGATCAAATTATTTATGAGTTGCAACATGAATCTGATAATTTGCTATCTTGCTTAGTAAGCCTTCATTTCCTTCGGAATTGACATGTAACATCGTAATAGTTAGGAGTTGTAACAGAAGTTTGATTCAGTTTTTCTTTATTAATGAGTTAAGTTTGATTCAGTTATCAATACAAATTAGTCTGTACCAAACAGTTTAACTCTTGTTGGAACCCCAAATACTTGGTGACATGGAGGTTATGAGCACGGCAGTTGATTCAAGTGCCTGGGTTTCCCCAATTTTGGAGGAGATTGAATTTGTGACCTTGATAATTTAGCGTGCATTGATTATTTAGTTCCTTCTAGAAATCTGGAGGTTAAGCAGCTGGTAAAATTTGTCCTCAGTGGTAGGCAATAATATGGTTTGATTTTGGTTTTTTCTTATTGATTAGTAGTTCCAATTGTGTTAGCCTGGAATTCTTACAATAAGCAACTCTTGTTTAGAAACTGGCGCAAGTTTGCTTGGCTGACTTCATTTGTTTGTAAAGTTCTAATCTTAAAAATATATTTGTGACTTGGTCTGACTTACTTCCATTGTCTGGAGTTGTTGACTTATTTCTTTGCTTATTCTGAGTTGCAGCAAATCAAAGTTTCTGTTGGCTAATTATGTTGGCTTTATGTGTGCAGTAAGTCAGAATATGTCATATACAAACTCAAGGAGATGGGAAAGGTATCAGAGAAAGATGTTATGCAGATCTGCACCCAATTTGATAGGCTAGACTCTGGGAACTGTGGAAAGATAACCCTTGCGGATCTTATGAGTCGTCATTGATATCCAAGTAGCTTTTTGTCCTTTTCATCATTATACATCAAGGCAAGCAAATAGCAAATATCTTTAAACATGAAGTATGATAAGCCTGATCTTATGGAGAGCATTGTTCATATCCAAGTTGCATACAATCCACATGAAGTATGAACTTTGCTGCCTGATCTGTTGGTCCTCATACCCATGCATCCTCATTCCCATCAAATAAATCTTCCATATTTTAGGCATAGATGCATGATACTTGTGGACGCACATGGATGCATTTCCTGCTAAAGTATACAATTTTACAAACCAGTCAACAACAAGGTCATTGACATATTCCGCGAAATACCGGTGATGGGAGAACTAAGCTGATAGAGGGCACTTTTGACTTAACACAAACTAATTGACAATACAGACTAGTTGTATTTCTTCTCTTTCAGAAATGAAGATAATCTCAGAAAATAACAATATTTTACTTTTTGCTCAGAGTTGGAGACCCTTTTTGTGGCTTCAGAATGTAAATGGTTGTAAATTAGTATGAATGAAGGTGAAGCACTTTGACTACGTCTCTCTAGCTTGCTTGCTTTCTTTCTTTCTTTCTTTATTTCTTGCATTATTTTGGATCCAAGTTAAGTTGGTAATCACAAATATTGACACTTTGCCTTTTTTTTTTAGAACCTTGATTTTCACTTCATCATCAGGTTATGCTATTTTTTGTGTTGTGTGGACCCTATGAATGTTAGACTTGGCAATGAATTGGGTTGATTAATCTATTGAATAACAGGCACTTGTAACCCAAAATAGCCGTTCTCGTGCTCTTCATGGGCATGCCTTTTCTGGCTTGATAACTTGGTACCAGCTGATGCATTGCACCAACATTTGTCCTAGATGTTTGGAACCAACAGTGAAGCTAAATGTGAAAAAGGTGGGTTCAAAAAGGGCTCATATGGTTTTTGACTGCAATGTTTCATTCGAAGTTATATAATTCCAATTTTCTTGCAGAAATATGGTCCTTGCTTTATTCTTGGAAAACATGAAAGACAGGTGCTCATAATAATAAACCCAAAAGGTGTGCACTTCAACATTCAACTCATTGTTTACAAATTCCTCTCTCACTTATATAAAAAAGTGAATTTGAATTGATGAAGGGATCAAAGCAACTCCCATTAATCTACTAGAAGTTTTCTGTTTGAAAGGTAGCCTTGGACCATGTCGGTTTCAAAAGCTTCATCAGCAAACCAATCCATTCATGATTTACTGCGACTTTTAGGGTGATTGAATAGAAAGAAGACCAAGGACTATACACATAATATATATATATATATCTTGTCCTCTTTAAAAAGTTACTTTTAAAAATTTTGAACATGAAACTAGTCCTTTTCTTTGAAGGGATCAAAAGAGCAATGAACATTAACCCAATACTCTACAAGACTACTTCATTCCAAATTCTCTCTCTCTCTCTCTCTCTCTCTCTCTCTCTCTCATTATAAATTAGACAACTTCTTGAAGAGCATCATAACAAAGCTTTTGAATTCTGTTGATGAAGTAGACTGTTTTCAGTGATCTTGATTGACTGGGGAACCAAAGACTATGTCCTATATTAAATCTATGGGGTTTACCAAAAGGAGATGAAGAATTAAAAAGAATGCAAATTAAAATATAAATTATATATTACGGCATGGCTGAGTCAACTTAATTAATTAATTCATTGCAACTTAATTATGACTGCTGATGACTCTATCAGAGAAATAATAATTTAATAATTTGGTAGAAGAAATGTCTGTTCTTTCGTTTTCAGTTCTTTATTGGCTAGTAGAATGGAGGGGCATTATATCAAATAGAAAATTCAATTTGAATAACATTAAAGTATAGAGAATGCTGCTGCAGTTGTTAGATTGGAACCAGTCAAGTAAATTTTTGACCTCTTGAAGAATCCATCCACATAAGAGGTCCTTTCACATTTGAAGAAGATGGAGCGGGCTTTCTTTACACTGAGTGATGAATATAAGAGACAAACCCCATATCTTGTATTTTTCTTATGACTTGATTTGCAATTTGCATCATAAATCATAATACCATATTCAGTTCTTCTCCTATGCGCACGTTACGGCGTTATTACCGTAATTTGCAATTTGCACCATAATTCATAATACATGACGTCTGCATGGTAATAATAGATGTTGGCATAGGAGAAAATCAGGTACTATATTGTAAAATACTATAGTATGCATGTAATAATAGTCATTTCCGATGTTGACTATGGGTTTCAAGTCAAATTGAAATCATTGAAATCAAGATTTTAAAACATTATAGCCTAAGATGGATAGGGTACTGGTGGTGAAGTGGATTGTCAGCTTTTCTGTATTCATACAATTTTTATATATATATATATAATAAAAATAATAAAAAATTGTACGGAAATTTGACGGTGAAAGGAAAAAAAAGAAAAGAAAACTAATTAATATACAGGAAAGAAACTTGCTCAACCAAGTTATTTATTTGTCTGGAAGCAAAATGGGTTTTGCTTAACTAAACTAACCCTTCGTATTTGTGGGATAATCCGGCTTCCAAATACGAAGATATTCTTTAAAAAATTCTAGATGCCTATAGTCTTATAAATACATGATTATATTCAACACACAAGATAATTTTAAATTCCTTTCAAAACCCTAAACACCCAAAACCCCTCACACGGTTAAGTGACATCACACAAAGTTACAACCATCCGGTTCTCTCCATAGAGAAAACTCTGTATCATTTTTTAACTATTGTTTCTCAAGGATTCAATCGAACTAACTTAGACATCAGATGACCTTTAGCCAACACCCTCCAGGTGTGGTCTTTTATCCATATTTAATTTTACAAGAACTAGAAAAGAGAGAGAAAGAAGTTAAAAAAGCGAAGAATTTTCAAACGAATATTCTCCCGTGAGATATTTACACAAACAGTATTAATAATATAGACTGCAGAGTTATATTTGTCTGAGTAGTCTTGTATTGGAGTTTTGCCTGACAAGTTCATCAGCGTACGCAAAAATAATGGCCATACATAAGAGTTATAGTACTGTAGCAGCATACATACGCATTATCAGATTAAGGCTCTCTCTCTCTCTCTCTCTCTCTCTCTGTCTGTCTGTCTAACTAATAAACTATTTATATACCATCAATTATTGAGCGGAAAAAAGTTAGGCACACACTGCTTTCTCTTCAATGAAAGTGGAATAGTGTGGATCTATTTTAATTTAACTTAATCGTGCGCTAGCTAGGTTACAACCTCGGATACTATTCGACATACAGACTCTCTTGTTATGAAGAGTCATTCAGCTGGTCTTCCAAACTGTAAGATGTTGTCTCCTTGCTACATCCTTGCCTTTTTTTGGTTCTGGAAGTTCTGTCGATGGCACTATGTTGGTGACAACATCCTAGTCATTGATGAACGCGAATCGAAGATTGATACGTGTAAATAAAATTGTCGTAATATATATATGGTCGAAATTAACCATTGGTGTGTGGGTGGTTGATAAAGCTGATACGTACAAATAGGGATAAGATAAAGTTTGTTAGTGAATAGTGATTAGGCAGATGACAACTAAAACAAAGATTAATTTAGAGATGCTGCTTGCTTGGTGGTGGTGCCTTTAAATTTGAGGTTGAGGGATGGGTTGGGTTGGGTGCAAGTGCAACCCCAAATGTTTCAACATCCTAAAGATTCTTTTTTTCCAATGTGCACACCTAACAAAAAACCTGCCCTCTTCTAAATCGATAGGGACTTCCATTACCAACATACCAAAGTCCTTATTTTATGTCACTTATAGCGGACGCAACTGATTAATAATAGGTCAACAATCTCATGCTTTTCTTTAATTTTCTCTCTTTCCATCAAAAGTCATCCCTCTTAAGCAACCGCCCCAACCCCATCAGATTGATTTACACTCTGATTTGATTTAAGTTCAAATCATGTACATCTACACTTTCCCGTAATGCATGTATTTCTTCTTGCTACCTTTTGATTAAACTAATCTCCAGTCAAATACACAAAGATTACCCTTTCGATTTGACACTAATCTTCCAAATGATTTTAGATAATTTAGAATTGAAAAACATGATACACTCATGACGCACGAGTAGTCATCTCTTACGTAGTCTTTCTTTCTTTCTTCTCTCTCTTTTCTTTAGTAGAAATTAACAATTAACAATACGAGATCAATACTTGAAGGATCATAGTTGATATGTTATTTAATGAAAATGACAATTTTCTATTGTGATGGTGTAGTTTTGTTATACGTATATTAACCGGTTGTAAAGTAGTTCGTATTAAATCATTAAAAAAATTAGACTTCTCTAGCATATTTCCTTTTCCTTTTGATAAAAATAATGTTTTTTACTAAATTATTATAACTTCGTCTTAGTTCAGGAAATAACATCTTGGGAAGGTAGGTATATGTCATATAGATCATATTCATATTTCTCTTTTCTCTGTTTTTGTGTGTGGATATTTTCCTGCAAACAGTTATTAGCTCAAATTAAGGGCGCCAGATTAACATCTTTCATTTTTCTTTCTGCTTTTTTTAAAAACTAAATCAATTATTTAGTTGCATGTACATTATACATAAAATGTTTATTGTTCATGTGGACAACACATCTAATGACAAAAAACAAAAGGCTTAATTATTGTTTATCCCGTTGGAATGGATGCTCGGTCTCATTTTACCCTATGAAATTGAAAATTTCTCACTTAACCCCTTGAATCTCTAAAAATTGCTAAAAAAATTTTACTTTACCACTTTTGTTCATTTTCCTCCACAAAACTGTTAAATGTGCTGATGTGGCATGGGCATTTAGTAATTTTAACTATTAACGAACTTTAAAATCCAAAGAGTGCTGCTATTTCCACCCACCTGTCTTATTTTTCCATCTACCTTATTTTCAAAATTTTAAAGACTAATTTACCCATTCATAAAATGACTTCTAAAGACTATCTAATTTTTTTTTTTTTTTTTACAATGTTCACTTTTAATAACTAAAAATAAATAAAATTAATTCTTAAAAACAAAACCAAAAACCCAAGAGCCACCAAAGCTCATCTGTCCCCACCCGACTTGTCAGCCATCCTACCTGCCAGTGGTGACACCCTCCCCCCATGCCACCGACAAATTCTCATTTCCTCTCATCTCTCTCTATCTCTCTGTCTCTCTGTCTTTGTCTCTATCTCTTTAGGCTGGGTTCGTTGATTTTCATTTTTGTAGTAATAACATGTTGGCTTTTTGAAGGGTAAGGAGGAGTTTGGTGTTGGTGTTGGTGTTGGAGATGGACGAGGATGATAGATGTAACATCCCACATTGACTAACGGAGAGGGGGCGATGTGCCTTATATGTACATGCCCACTTCCATCTAGCATGAGGCCTTTTGGGAGCTCACTGGCTTCAGAGTCATGGGAACTCCGAAGTTAAGAGAGTTTGGGCTAGAGCAATCCCAAGATGAGTAACCCACTGAGAAGTTGCTCGTGAGTTCCTAGAAACAAAATCGTGAGGGCATGTAGCCCAAAGCGAACAATATCGTGCTACGGCGGAGCAGATCTGAGATGTGACAATAGATCTGGGGTTAAGGTGTATTTTAATAATGATCTAACATTGCAGACAACTCGTCAATAAGAGTATCGATCAAAGACTGCCACTTTTTTGTTTCAGAAACTAAATAATTCTTCAGTTTGTTTTGTTTCTAGAGATGCCAATACAATGGCACATAGTCTTGCATATTTCCCTATTTCATTAATTGACATGTTCTCATGGGATAGGGACCCTCCTGCTTTCATTGAGAACTTGTTGGTTGAAGAGGATATGTCATAATCGGTTTCAGTTTTATTGAAATAAATACATCGTTTCCACTGAAAAATATAGATAATTTGTATAAATTAATAATTAAATAGTATTTTATGAATAATGGTGGGTGGAAAGATAAGATTATGTTTTTTCAAATTTACACGGTGGGTGTGAAGATAAGGTGGGTGGGGAAATAGGATATGAGGGTGGAAATAGCAGCACTCAATCCAAATTGAAGAACATAAAAACAAAAACAAAAATTAAGTCTTTGTGTGAACCTACTCTCCCCACCCCTTGTAACAAACCCCTCCTACTCCTTCAAAGAACTTTGAAGACAACCATCCTCTTTTTTATCTTTTTTGTTTCTCATGAGGAAAAACTCAAATCTTTCCATCCTCTTGGTTGTGATTAACAAACCAATAACAAGAGGAAAAGGGAAATAAAAAGGACAAGGAAAATAGGGTGAAACCCCACCGCTGCCTTTCGTTGTCCACCAAATATCGCGAGGTTGAGGACCACGTCAAATACACCATTTGAAACCACAGATCTGATGTTGTCGGCATTCATTGACATCAGTAACTCGTGATCCCATCGATGCTATAAAGAGGGAGAGAGGGAAAGGGTAAGTCGGGGAGGGGGTTTAAGGGGTCTATAGCGTGCTTTGGAGATGGTGGTGATGGGAAAGGGAAGAGGGAGAAGATGGAGGTGAGAGCTGGTGTAGGGTGACTCAGATGGGAAGAAGGGGAAGATGGATTCTTTTAAAATTATTTTTTGTATTTAAAATATATCGACTTTGTTTTTATATTAGTTTGGATTTTATAGATTTTTAATAGTTAAAACTACTAAAATGCCCGTGTCACATTAGCAAACTTGACGGTTTTGTGGACAGAAATGGATGGAAGTGGTAAAATGAGAAAATTTTAGCAATTTTTAGAGATTCAAGGGGTTAAGTGAGAAAATTTCAATTTCATGGGGTAAAGTGAGACTGAGCGTCCATTCTAGAGAGTAAAAAAATAATTAAGCTAAAACAAAATGTTGATTAATATATATATAATAATGTCACACTCACGCAAAGTAACTTTTTTGCCCTTCAATTTTCCAAGTTTGACTAAACTAAATCAATCTCAGAAAGGAGTTGAATTGGTCTCTCCCATAATTTCAATTGGTTTATGATGTTTGCTAGCAATAAAGTTTGATTTTGTTGACTATAAAAAAGTTAATATGTGTATGCATATGTTTCTTCATATAAAGTAGTAGGCAGATGGGAATCCTTGCTAGCTAGGAACATGATGAGCTTGTCTAGAATTCTTCCCCCACACGACGTCGATTAGAAATGTAAATTGTTTTTTGCTTTTGTTGTGGTAGGAAAATAAAACATTTAAAATGCAGACCTAATTAAACACGTAATATATATATATATATATATGTATTTAGCATGCACATTTTGAAAGAGTAGTCTATTCTGTCTATCGTGGTGGGCGTTTCTGGGCCTATCAATGGGGCAGCCACCAACTCACCATTAATGCATGGATGGTAACCAATACGTTCATATCCCCCAACCCTTTACACATCAACTAAAGTTGGTAACCACGTATTAACCCACAAATATACCTTGTTAATCCGAATTAGATTTGATATACGACCATGCTTGACAACGTGATTTAATTTCGAAACACGTTATGTATTTCATACGTTGTTATTCGTTCTGAGTACGAATACCTTAAAGTAGACACGTTCCGTATTAAATCTACATAATGTTTTTTTTGCCCTTTGGGTGGACAAATCTACGTAATGTGCGTTATAATTTGTCTAAAAAGATTCATCAAGTGAATAGTATTGACTTTTCTCAAAAGTAAAAAAACACAAAAAGAAGAGCAAAAAACCATATGACATAAAAATTTCCAAAATAAAAGCATATAATTGAGGAGGACAAGAAGACAAGTCGCAGAAACGCGCAGAGAGAGAGAGAGAGAGAGAGAGAGAGAGAGAGGATAGGAGGAGGCTGGGTGACGTGGGTTTGGCATCAGCAGGACAAACAAGCACATGTTTGTAAAAGAAAGAAAGATGTGAAGATGAAGATGAAGAAGGAACCCTCCGATCCGAGTGGTACCACGTGGCCCCTCTGAATCGACTAGACTACGGTCAAATACCGGTGCCACTACTGCCATGTGTATGCCTAATATTCCAAACACTCTCCTCTTCCTTCCTTACAAACTTTCAACAATTGACCGCACATGGAAATTATACAAAACTATACTTTTTGATGTTTGATATTTGTTTTTCTTATAAGATTTTTTTAATGGCATTTCATACTGAGAGAGAGGGGAGATAACATACTAAATACATGGATGTTAGGATTCAAATTCAGGACTTTTTTAAAGGAGTAATTGCTCCAAACCACTAGATATTTTTATATCTAGTAATAAAATCACATTATTGTCAGTATAGTAGGGTTATTTATTTATTTTAATTTAAGTAAATGTTAGTGATTATGTATAGCATGAGTAATGTTCTCATCTCATATTTATACGTTTGGTAAATACTTATATTGTTAGATTATAAATATGAATCACATATTCAAGTGAGGATGAAGTTAATGAATTAGTCGAGCGGGGCGTTACCACAGTGGTTGTGATCCTCCCCCTTCATCCCTTGCTTGGCGCCAAATTCCAGGATTTCTTTTCTCTCAATGTAACAAAAAAAAAAGTTAATTAATTATCCAAATTTACATTACAGTAATTTGACAATATATAAGTATATCAATGTCACGAATTAACAATGTTGGTCCATTAATGAGTCAAGAAATACGATGCCTGGAATATTATTACTTTATTTGTGTAAAAAGTGGGAGTTGCAAAGGACTAGAGATGTTTCCATTTGAGGAGGCACTTTTTGGGTCCTCTCTCAATTTGAAGGTGTTTTGTCAACCTCCCTTCATAAAGCGATAGTAGCCAAGTCCATTCAAACTTAAAGGCTCACTCTCTTTCTCTTTCTCTCTCCAATATTATTTTTATATATAATGCTCAAATCATAATCTATACTCCAAACCCAAAACCATATGTAGAGGGACAAATTTCCAAGTCTTGAAGCAAAGAGTCCTCCCCATCTCCATAATTTAATTCTTTGTCAAACCCTTCTTTCTTCTTCTTCCTCTTGTTCTTGTTCTTCTTCTACTTCCATGTCTGATCATGAACATAAAGACCTTTACTACCACGACCTATTTCAGTATGAAGATCATGAACACCTCAATGGTGGGATGATAAGCATCAATCACAACCAAAACTTGCAAGGGATTGAAGTTCCTTCATACATGAACAACACCAGCTTCGCAGAGTGTTTGAAAGGACCTATGGATTACAATACGCTCGCAACTGCTTTTGGCCTGGCTTCTTCAACGTCTGATGAAGTTATATTTTCCTCCGCTAATGAAGGAGATCAAAAGCCTGCTGAGCATATTCGATATTCAGGTGGTGGTGGCGATGGCGATGGTGGAGGTGGAGAAACTCCTTTGACACCAAACTCTTCGGTGTCGTCTTCTTCAGCTGAGGCCGGTGCCGAAGAGGACTCTGGTAAGAGTAAGAAAGACAGGCAGCCAAAAGGGTCATCAGAAGATGGAGGAGATAGCTCGAAGAAAGTGTAAGTTTGAATTGAATACTTTCATAGTGTATTCAAATATGTGTATATATGCTTGATCTAAATGGTGATGAATCTGATGAACATGTTTGATGTTGTATAATCAATCAAATCAACAGGATGAGCAAAGCAAAGAAGAAAGGAGAGAAAAAGCAAAGAGAGCCACGATTTGCCTTCATGACCAAGAGTGAGGTTGATCATCTAGAAGATGGATACAGATGGAGAAAATATGGGCAGAAGGCTGTGAAAAATAGTCCATATCCAAGGTACTATTAACTCATTGATTTGGATTGATATACAAAATGGGTTCATTTCTGTGTTTCCACTCAAAATAACCCACCAAGAAATAGTCACTCAAACCGGAAACTAAATGTGAACAAGGTTTAAAAACTTGATTTGTTTTCACTAATATTTTTCTTTTAACCTCACCAAATTTTGTGCAAAAAGTCCTGCAAAAAGACATACGAACTGATTTCTAAAACCAAAAGGCTTGACTTTGGCATAAGATCTTCTATATATTATGTTCATGGTTGGCCAAGTGTGAGTTTTAGGAGCTTAGCCCCGTTTGATTCATACCCAGAAGAGAAAAAAGAAAAAAAATACAAAGTTTGATTTGGTCACGACTCTCTTTATAATTGTTGTTGTTGTTGTTGGGCATTGCAGAAGCTACTATCGATGTACGACCCAAAAATGCGGGGTCAAGAAACGTGTAGAGAGGTCGTTCGAGGACCCATCCACTGTGATTACGACGTATGAAGGCCAACACAACCACCCACTCCCTGCAACCCTCAGAGGAAATGCTGCTGCTTCTTCTGCATTCTTCCCACATGCTGCTGCTGCCTTCAACTATGCGCCCATCACAGGATCTGCAGGTCCAAGCTCCAACTTTCCTCAAGAACTCTTGTTTCAAATGCCCCACCACTACATGATCAATAATAACAATCAAGGGTCATCAAGAAGTGTTGTTGTTAACCCTCATCATCCTCATCATCAGCAGCAGCATCAACTACCTCGTGCTGATCAGCATGGACTTCTGCAGGACTTGTTGTTTCCCTCCATGTTCCTCAAACAAGAGCCATGATTTGATTTCTCTCTCCTTATTTTGTAGATATAATTAATTATATACTGTAGTCTCCTCTCATCACGATCATCTTGATCATCCTTGACTTGTCAGCTAGATGGAAGATGCACTCTTCACTTTTCTAATCATTTTAATTTCATTTGGATTTGTGAGGCGACCGCTCAAAGTTTTAGCAATAGAGCACTAATCTTACATACTTATCGTGAGAGAGAGAGTTCGACTCTTTCATTGATCTCTCCCTGTAAGGTTTGGACATTTCTGTAGTAAAAAAAACAAAGTCCATTGAAGATGCTCTATCTAGAGTGGGATTTTTTGTTTTTTGGGGGATGATTTGAATGTAATTTGCTAGCTCTCGAACTGCTACTAGCTATAGGGAAAATTTAGTGGGTTTCGTAAGATGAGTTTAATATTGATGGTGGTTCGAGAGATCAACTAGTGCATGCTGCATGCAAAGAGGGATTTGCATGCTTAATTGCTTGTATTACTACAAGAGCAATGGCGCAACTGGATTTTCTTATCTTCGGATATTCATGTAATGAAAGATCCTTGCAGGCTGCAGCTTTGCATGCATGCAGCAGCCTGGGATTTTCAATGAGTTCAATATATATCTACTATATAGTACTTCTCTTTTCTTGATTGGTTTTTTTTTATTGTTATTTATTTTTAAAATGTGCTTCTGGTACCAAATTAAAGGCTTTCTAGCCTCTATCCGATGGTCATCATGCTGTGTGAAAAAAAAGAGAGGAAAGATTTGTTCATGTGACGAGGAAATTGGTCTTGAGGCCCAAATCAATGGCCCGATTCTTATTTTGTTTTTTTTTGAGCTCAAAACCCAATTCTACAAGTTGATTCACTTGGGTTGGCTTTCGCCAGTGCTGCCTATCTAATGGGAATGGGATGCCACGATTTCGTGACTGTAATAAACGTACCTTCATCATACATGTTGACGCCTAAAAATGAACGAGCATTTTTAAGTCCAATTTAGTGATGTTGTGTCATCTTCGGCCATGTGTTCTTTGCTCAGTTTAGTTAAGCATGCACCTTCTTTAGTCAAATCGGCAACCCACCATGCCGATGATTTGTACAAAGATAGGGCTGTCGAAGACTTGCCCTATCGAAGATCATTTTATGGTCTCAGTGCTTTGATTGGACTTTGTGGGTTCCTTTGTAGGTCTCATGTTCCATGTGTCACAATATAATTGACCGATCAAATATGGTATAAACAATACATACTCATATCAAATATGATACATGCACAAAAAATTAAATTAATGTATAAAATATTGGGTTTAATAAACAAAATAAAACTTAATCTAACATATAGCTTTTTAAAATAGTTTCATATCATCTTGGATCCCAAGTGTACAGTTTACGTTTTGAAATGTTTCCTTAGATCTACATGCATGATGCATTGCCAGTCTAACAGGTTAAAAAATGTTGGTATTGAAAGGTGAGCCTAGAGAGATCTCTGCCGGAAGCATCACCAAGTAACTAAACAGTATATATGCCACCTTTAAAAATTAATGTTTAATCAGCACTAAACATTTTCCAAAGTAGTTTTCTTCAACATCAGTGCTCAAGCGCTACCAACTGAGTATAATCTAGTGAAAAAAGGTCTTAATCTACAGACTAATGGTTTCAAATTCGAATTCTTATGGTACTTTGGTAGTGTATATGTATAAAACTTTCATCTCGTTGTAGTTTAGACTATCGATTGTAATTGAAAAAAAGTACTCAAATACTAATAAACTAGTAAATTAATACAGTTTAAACTCGTTTCTCCACAAAATATATTATATATATAATAATGAAAGCTTATTCTAGCCGTCATTCTTAATTCATATAATTATCCTTGTAATTTTATTTCTGTTTTATCGAAAAACAGAAGCTGATCCAGGTTGATTACCTCATAAAATTTACTTCAACGTCCTGCAATAAAATTTCTAGTATTGGGACAGACATATATATTACTTTTTTTAAAAAAAAAGAATGCCAAAGCATATGTCTTTCTGTCAGGTTGTCAAGGTATGATTTACCAGAAACTGTCCAAGCATAAAGTTTGATTAGGAAGCTAAGCTTAGTACAGCCAAAAATGTTTAAAGAAAAATGATTAGGTGGGTTTCTTAATATGCACATAATTATACCCAAAGTTTAAGCTGGTAATACAACCCACACCACCATTTCAGTGTAAGAGATGAGAGAGAATTGGCTCTGCTTTGTTCTCACTCCAAACTCAGGTCATCATCTCAAGGGTCCATTGGTTCTTCAATTAATTAATTAATTAATTAATTATGGTTAATTAATCAATAATATTTCTGGTATAGTCTTGCCATACACTCCTTTCCAATCCCAATTATTAGGGCTTAATTACAAATGTTAATTATAACCACCATGTTAGCATTTTTCAATTTTTCATTCGAAACCCGTTGGAAGCACTTTGCAGTCAGGGACAGACAGAATTTCGAACGGGATTAATCTCACTCTTTGAGTGTAGGGACACCTCGTAGTATTTACCAAAAAAAATAAAATCAAATTCCTTTTAAAATGAGACATTTTAATGACAACTTTTGACTACATTTCTATTTCTTTGGGTTCCATTTCTGTTAAGAAATACAGTCAACGACATGGTCAACATGACTAATTACTAACTGGATTAAGAATTTGTTAAATTAGTCCTTAACAGTAAACAAACAAGTCCCTCCACCTGAAAATTAATTACCAAACTTTAACATGTTTTTAAAATTTTGTTAATTTTGTTTAAGTCACTCTCTCTCTCTCTCTCTCTCTCTCTCTCTCTCTCTCTCTCTCTCTCTCTCTCTCTCTCTCTCTCTCTCTCTCTCTCTCTCTCTCTCTCTCTCTCTCTCTCTCTCTCTCTCGCTGTAAAGAAAAAGAAAAAGAAAACAAAAGGGCAACCACAATCAAACCACAACCACCACCATCAACAACCGCTGAGGAAAAACAAACTTAACTGAGAGGGACGTACCTTCCGACATTTTCCCTATTCTTCAAGCAACAGCCTGAAACGACCACGTTTTCTTCTTCTTCATCTTCGATCTTCAGCTAGGGTTTCGTATTTATCCCCAATGTTCGATAGAGTACTCACTCTCTGAACTCTTCAACTAGGTACTTTTTCTCTGCATCGATCTACGTTTCGTATTTCCCAATTCTACTACTTTTTGTTCATTTTCTTCTGGGTTTTGTAGTTTGGAGCCGATTTGATGGATCGGGGAATGGTGGACGCTGGCCCAGTTACGCCTGGACAGGTAGTTTAATTTGAATGTATGCCAAGAATATTCATTTTTTACGTAATTTGCTCTTCTGCTAATTTCGATTGAATGCTAAGACTTTCATTTGCTTAGTTAGTTGTGTAATTTTGATAAAGATCTGTGAGTGTCCATGAACTACTGGTTTCTAATTTTTGTTAAACAATAAGAAATTTATTTGGTTTTTAAGTTCTTGATCTAAAGAAAGATTGCTTTATTTTGTGTTGCCATTGCCTTTTGTAGTGGTTTGTGGGATTATTGCATTTAGGTATTATAGCGGATCATTTTAAGTTAGCTCTGTTTATGAATTCATCCTGACGTGCCTCATTTTAGTATCAATTGGGTAGTAATGTTTAAATTAATGAGTTTTTGCTGTCTCAAAGTCTCACCGAAGATGTTTAAAGCACCAAAGATGTGGATTTTCTTTATGTTGAGCTCTAAAACTTGAGACTGGTTAATGTTTCTTGAGAAGAAATGCTTTTGAAGTTAATTTTCCCAATTTAAGAGCTAATTACATTTTGTTAATTTATTGTTTCCCTCATTTTATCTACAAATCATATCCTCTATGCTAATTGAAGGACACCAATGTAGTTCAGTGCTGCATCCCCTCCCTCCTTTTTTAAGTTCCTTTTCTATTTGCTCATTCTTTCATTTTTTTTTTTCATGAATCGTCCTAACAAATTTACTGAAGCTTTCCATATCATGCTTCAGGTGTCTTTTTTGCTTGGAATCATCCCAGTATTTGTCACATGGATATATTCAGAGTACTTAGAATATAAAAAATCTTCATCTCATCCTAAAGTGTAAGTTCGTTCACTGCAAACTGGAGATATGAATTGGTTTTAGTTTAATTTTATTAGCATCAACTTGGATGTTTCCACTTACCTTTCATGGAAATATAAAAGATGGAGAAAAGCATCTCAATTTGTATTCACTTCTCTTATCTGATGCATGAATGTCCCTAGTTCACAATGGTTTAGTTTGACTTTGAGGTAAGTGTGACATAAAGTGCTTATGTCTTTTACCTCCTCAGTTTTCAATCACAAGTAGCCCACCCAGGCCCTATGTAGAGTTTTTGTGGCCAGATATTATGGTATTTTTTGAACTAATTCTAGTATAGATATGGCAGATGAGTAGTAATGGTACTTTAGATTTGTGTTTGATTAGAAATGAGATACAAGGATGTTCAAAGATATGATATTTCCAGTCAATATTCTTTGATTCTGAACAGTTAAGTTCATTTTTTGTTTTTTCAATTGTAGTCATTCAGATACTAATCTGGTTGAGTTGGGAGAGGAAACGATCAAGGAAGATGATCGGGCTGTTTTGCTGGAAGGAGGCCTTTCGAGATCAGCATCTACAAAGTTTAATAGTTCATCCATTAAAATAAACTTAATTAGGTTATTACCCATAACATACAGTATCTTCATTGAATTTTCATATTGATTACTATTAAAGGTCTTTCTCACGTTCCACTTCTCATGAATTTCTAGGTTTCTGACTATGGATGACTCTTTTTTACTTGAAAACAGAGCAACTCTTAGAGTGATGTAAGTAATTAGTACGCAACGTATCTTCTCAGGACCAAATTTCTTATTGTACAATTATATAATAGTTGACATCAAATATAGGTCTGAGCTTGGGGCAATTCTGTTCTATTTCTACATATGTGACCGCACAAATATACTGGGAGCTTCTACAAAGGTACATTTGCTCTGCTTCCCTAATGTATTCATAATTACCTCTAGTTGCTTTGATTGAAATTAGAACAGGAATACTATTCCCATGATACTAAGTGTGTATGATCCCATAGAAGGTCCTAATCTATTAGCTTTTTTCCATATTGTCCTTTTCTGCTGTAAGTGCCTTAATTCATTCACCCACACATCTTGCTCATCATTTCACGTCCTGGTACAATAAGATACTATTTTTAATATTGCTTCTATGTTTCTATAGGAATTATTCAATTGGGTGAATTTTTATTGAGGAAAAATGTTAAGGATGGCAGTGTTACTATTGTCATGTGTTTGATAAACACAATATTTTTTTTAATTGACGTCACCACATGCTGCTAAGTACAATAAGCTGGTTTTACTGTTGCAAACATTGATTACTATTGTGGTTATTTTTTGAACAGAATTACAATCGGGATCTGTTCCTCTTTCTGTACCTTCTCCTCATCATAGTTTCAGCAGTGACATCTTTGAAGAAACATACTGACAGATCAGCATTCTCTGGAAAATCTATACTTTAC